TGAGGACGTAGAAAACTGAGTAGGGGAGCTCGGAAACGAAGAATAGCGCGCCACTAGGCACCAGGGGCGCCATAGCGAAAGTAGTTCCGACCGGTAAGTACAATCTTACCCTTTTGTGATTTCGGAAAGTTTAAGCGCCCAGGCCCGGTAGTGTGTGTGAGGGAGAGAGAGAGAGAGAGATGCTAGCAAAATGTACAGATCTATATGACATGCCCCAGTTGGCAGGAGGGAACGAGAGAAAGATAGAGTGGGAATAGGTGGGGAGAAAGAAAGACAGAGACAAACAAAGAAAATGAGAAGGCGAGGGATACACAGAAGAGAGAGAGAGAGAGGCAGAGAAATAGAGAGTGTGACTGCTCGATTGAAATTATGACATTGTTCTTTTCTTCAAAATGTGATTCCTCCAACTCCAAAACGGAGGAAAAACGATCGTTCATTGAAAAGACATCCGCAATCTTCATTTTAGATCTAGTCTAGTCTCGAAACTAGATCAATGATTTACAAATGTATGTCTGTCTGTCTAAATCTAAACCTAGGCCATAGATCTAGAAGAACCTAGGTCTACCCTGAGCCAAGAGGACGCTGAAACTTTCCGAAATCACAAAAGAGTTCCCCTACCGGGTCTGTATACTTCGTGACTTTGTTCCCGGTTACTGGGTCTGTAATACACACTCCCAATCATGAATTCCTAAGGTTGAGACATAGGCAAAGTCAGTCGGCTGGTCCGGTATTCTTCAATCTTACCAAATACTCACAAAACACAGTCATAACTCACTTGACCTATTCCCGTGCATTTATGGGACACCCCGGTGGCCTAATCCCGTGTAATTACGGGATGACCTTTATTGATCAACATCTCCTGTGTTCTTAATTTTTTAAGGTTTGGGAAGTGGTGAGCCAACAGTTGAGCCACTTATTTCGTTTCAGTGAAAATTTGGTTATAATGTGTAGTAATACTTGATCTAAGTGCTAAGCTATTTGAGCTGTAACGAACTAAGTAGATTCTTGTAAGTCAGTCGCCCCTACATTGCAATATATGATTTTATTATAAATTGGGTGCTAAAAACTTAAAACTCACTTGATCCTGAGCTATTTTTCACCCAACAACCATTGAAGCCTGACAATTTTGGGACACACCTGCCACTCATCCCGATTTAATCAGGATATCCCAATTTTTTGCCTCAAATTTCAAGCGTCCCGATTTTCCCGATTTCGATCGCATTCATCCCGATTTTTTTGTTCCGTGTGCTGCACTGGATTTTTCTGAAAACTCACTCTGCCTTTTTCTCTGTCGCAGGAAAGCACTTCTGTTAAACTTTTCGTCAGCAGGAACTCGGAGCACTATTTACCCAAATATTGATGTCGGATTCAGTAGTTTTTTTATTGACCCCCAGTTGTTTTGGATCTTTACTCACTAATGTTATTTCAACTCTTTATGGAAGTAGATCTAGCATCGATCTGGCATTCCTACTCGAGACATTCTCAAGATCTACTTCCGCTTTTGTTTCCACTGAGAATTCTCCAATGATGGCCTGATGTTTCAATTGCGACATTCAAATGATCAAAATACTATTCATAGTTCTGCTGTTACTTTCAAAACTAGCTTTGTCCAAGTTCTGCTAAGAAGGGCCCCATCATCAAGACCCGTTGGTCATAAAAGCTTTTAATCATGCATTCGAGTCACATGATTTCGGCGTGAGTCAGGGACCGTTGTCAACAGGGTCAACTTTAAAAGTTCATGCACCCTGGTTGAAGCGCCTTTCAAGACTTATGGACTTATGGGGGGAGGGGGGGGGGTGTTAAAGACCTTTGGACTAGGAGTCCTTGACATGATACTTTGACGTGATACTTTAAGTTTTTAAAAAAATGATAACACACACACACACACTCACACACACACACACACACACACACACACACACAGAGGGCATATAATTTATGTGCTGTGGGTGTCACATTTCATTCAACGAAGTCACATTCAACAAGAAGTCGACTCCTACAAGGCAATCCTTGATCCCCAATTTTTTTCCTCTATATCTCTTTGTAAATGTACGTCGGCTCCAACGAGGTTGCAAACAGACCGAATTTGCTTTCAACGAGGTTGCGATAACCAAATAAAAGCAATTAGTGGCCCCAAAAGTGAAGAATTTTTCTCCTTTCTCTCCATCTCACATGAAGCACAAGGCCCATCCTCGATTCATAAACATTGTATTGCTAGATCTAGTGTGCCTCCTAATATGGGCCCCAAAGTCAAGAGGATTGGTGCCTCGAGGGTTGGCCTGCTGTAGGGATTGGAGGAGGTGGGTGGGAACGCGATGTTGGCTGTGTGAAAATCCAAGCTCCCGCCTTTACTTAATGTAGATCTAAGCCTAGATGTGAGAGGGTATGTTTCCACACGAGAAGTGTACCGCAAAAAAAAAAAAATTTTTATGCAGAAATGATGGTCAGAACACAGCTCAAACACACGCACACTGATACAGTTTTTGATTTTTGTCATCTGGGGGAACAACTGTTGTAATCATTGGTATTGGTTCATTGTGTAATATAAATGACTTGCCTCCTTTGTTTTCTTTAGCCTTAGTCACATTCAACGAGAGGTCGGATCCAACGAGGACAACAAGCCAGTCCCGGCAATCTCGTTGAATGTGACGCCCACTGTACATCCCTGGAAAATTTGTGACTCAACTTGGCAGTCACCTTGGTGATTTGTCGTTGATCCTGATTATTTTCACCAAATCCTGATTTTGTTCCCTCTGAGATCCTGATTTTTAGCTTTCATCTGTTGATACCAGTGGGCCAAAAAAAGTCTAAAGACCCTGATTGAAGTGGGAATGTATCGCCTCTTAAAATGACAAAAACGCAATTATTTTTATATCGAAGGGTTTTGTTGGTGAGGTTTCTTCGCAAAATTAAGAAAGCCAATGCGATTGGCTTAAATCAATGATAAACAAAAGTACCTGACTTCTGAGTCAAGTCTACCTCATTTGTATAGAAGGGAGGATTTTTTTTGTTGGTAAGTGTTTTACAGTGCTCACAACTGCATAAGGTCATATGAGCGCACAGGACACATTAAACATTTTTCAGTTGGTAGGAAATTTTGAATTTTGCCAGGGTGGTGGCCGAAGCCTACTCTTATCGCTTTTAGACCGCCAAGGGATCTTTGATGCGCGCAAGTTGCACACGGGACCTCTGAGATTTTTTGCCCCTGTCCGAGAAGGCTGGGTGTAGATCTTTCCTACCAGAAGATCAGGGGTGTGGCTGAAAGATAGCAGTAAGAAGGAGCCATGGAGTAGCAGTAGAAAAGCTGCAGAAAGAGTCGGGAGCCCAGAAGAGGGGGCAAAGGAGGTGAGGGGGTGGGGGCAGAAAGTGGAGACGAAAGCAGACAATAGAACATTGCTAGAGAGCAGGAAAGGAGGTGAAAAGAGACAATTTTAGAGTAGAAAATGTTTCAGTGGCTACCCGGATTCGAACCCGGGACCTTTAAATGAGAGGCAAACACCTTAACACTTTGCAGTCACACAGCCAGCTGTACAAAATACCCCATCTGGTCACCCAACCAGGAGAGTGACTGCAACGGACTTCTCGGGGCCTGGCGGGTGACCGGAACGGATAATTTTCACCGGCGCATTATTGCGCCAGGTGACTGCAAAGTGTTAGCCTCCAAGGCCACGAGAGCCCCCTGGGAGGACTTCCTTTGGGGGTTTTTTGTCATGCTCGCGTGTCGCAGTAAGGGATGAAGAGAAAAAAACAAATGACGTTTTCATTTCGCTCATGTTTTAGACGGAAGAAAAAAGAAAGAAAAAAATAGACATAAAAAACGCATGCTGTGGCAAGTAATGTAAAGATGACACGTTCAATTTGACAAAAATGTGACATAGGAGAGGACTCCATATATATATATATATATATATATATATATGTAAGCGTTTTGATTTTTTGCAAGTGTCACAAGTGTTCTTGTTTTCCAGAAGCTTCATCTATCACCCAACTTTAGTTCCTTCAAGTGTTTTCTATTCTTTTTCTGCCAGTACAAGAGGAGCGTAGGGGGGTTGTGTTTTCCAAGGAGTTTTTTGTGACTGTATTTTTTTTTCCTTTTCAGTTATACTATATGTGAGTATGAGTAAGGAAGAAAGCCGTCCATCAGATGCCAAGAAAGTGTGTAAGGATTTTCCTAAGTTTATAAATTTTTCACAACTCTGTCGCTACACCGCTACTACTGAGGAGTGTGTCCAGTTTGGACAGAAGTGGGGATTGTTCCCGAAGTCCTGTCTTTGTCCCAGCTGTGGTGACATTTTGGACAAGGTGCACTTCTCAAGGAGGGGCAATTCGACACAGGCTCGATTTCGTTGCAGCAAACGTGCCTGCAGAAAGTACATATCTATTACCAAGAACACTTGGTTTGAAGGCGCCAAGGTCTCTTTCAGGAAAAGCCTTTTCCTCGCCTACTGTTTCGTCAACCGCAGTAGTTACGACACCGCCATCCGAGAAACGTCAGGACCAAGATTCGACGATTGCGAAACCAGTACGAAAACGGTGGCTGATCTGTACAGCTATTGCAGAGAAGTCATCTTTGAAAGCCTCTACTGCAGTGACGAAGTACGACAGATTGGTGGGGCCAACTTTTGTGTCGAGGTCGACGAGGCGAAGTTTGGCAAGAGAAAGTTCAATCGCGGGAGGGTAGCCAACGGTCAGTGGGTGTTTGGCGGCATTTGTCGGGAGACGAAGGAGTGCTTCCTCGTTCCAGTCCAAGACCGCACCCAGGAGACCCTCGTCAATCTGATCAAAAAGCACGTCGCTCCAGGTACCATCATCCGCAGCGATTGCTTCAAGAGTAACGAGTGCCTGGAGCGAGAGGGTTTCCGACACTTGACCATCAAACACTCAGAGAATTTTGGCGACCGTCACACCAGTGCCTACACTAATATCGTCGAGTCTACCTGGTGGGCAGTGAAGAAGAGTTTGTGCTCCACCCATGCCCACACGCAGAAGCAGCACTTCGCTGCCTACCTGGCCGAATACATTTGGCACCAGCAGAACGTCGACACCAAATGTAAATTCATACAATTCCTGAAAGAGATCTGCAAGGTTTACCCAGGACTGGACGCCTGAGGAGGTAGGTGATTTATATCTAACGCTAATGCTGCTATCCCTATTCTTTACCCTAACCCTTACCATAATCTTTACCCTCCTACCCTTAACCCTAAAACTTACCTTATGTATTATACCACAACTAATTAAGGTGAAAATTTGGCTAGGAGCCGAAGTAAACCAGGCAAACTAGTGCTCCCAAACAGCCAAAGTAGATAAAGTCTGGAGGGTCAACAGTGGCTGTTCCTAGACGAAAGTACTAATCCCAGACTGGGATTCAATACTTTGAAATGGACCTAAAATGCTCAAACCACTGTAATTTTGTCATGACTTGTGGCTTTAGGTCTTCCATTGTGATTTTGATGGCCATTGAGTATAATAATAAATTTTATAGTGGTTGCTCGTTATCGAAGTCCATCTATAAATGAAATAAATGCGACGAGAAAGAAAGAAAGAAATGCTCTGACAGAAAAAGAAAACTGCATCTAATTTGCCCCAATAGTTTTATATTTTATCAATATTTTTAAATGGCAATGTCTGGGGATAACACAATATTTTTTTGGCGCCGATTTGTAATAAAATTATGTAAAAAAAAACTGTTGTGCTTGGAGTGTTCATGTTACTTCTTCTATATATCATGTGTCACAGAACATTTTCTGAATAGCTCAGAAACCACATACAAGCAGTTAATTATAACTTATCTCTGTTGCGCTCATGTAACGAGATCACTAAGAAAAGACAAAGAGGAATTCATGAACATGAATTGGCTGGTAGAGAGGGAAGAGGAGGTGGCAGCAGCAGGAGGACACACGCAAATCCTTTACCAGACTAATGACTCTTGCTGAAAAATATGAGAAACCAGAAGTAACAGTAAAGGACCAAGAGGGAAAAGCCATTTTTGGAAAGGAATCTCTGTCAAGACAATGGGTAGAGTATTTCAACAGTCTCCTGAACGGACCACCACCTAGTAACCCGCCAGACATCCTGCTAGCAAGAAACGAGTTGCCAATCTGCTGTGATGCTCCATCAAAACAAGTGATTATGGTAGCCTCTAAAGAAGCTGAACAACATTAAAGCAGCCGGTCCTGATCAGATTCCACCTGAGGCCCTAAAAACAAATGCCGACGTGACGGCAGACCTCCTTCTCCCATTGTTTACCAGGAGCTGGAATGAGAGAAAGTTCCTAAAGGATTGGAAAGAAGAACACCTTGTGAAACTTCCTAAAACGGAATTCTCAGCAACTGCAACAACTTCCAAGGAATCGCTCTTCTCTCAATACCAGGTAATGTCTGGAACGGATCCAAGACTTCGGGATGAATGGGCTGGTTTTTCGGAAAAATCGGTCAACAGGGACGAGATTGCTACGCTGAGGATCATAGTGGAACAGTCCCTGGAGTGAAACTCCCTGTTGATCGTCAACTTCCTTGACTATGAGAAGGCTTTTGACAGTTATAGACTGAGCAACACTGGAACATACTGAGACATCACGGAATCCCTCAGAAGTTGGTTAACCTCATCAAGAGCATGAACGAAGGGACAAGTGGCGGGGTTATACATGATGGCCAGCTCACTGACAGCTTTGACATCAAAACCAGTATGAGACAGGGATGTTTACTATCACCTTTCCTCTTTTTCTTGGCAATCAACTGGCTGATGAAGGAAACCACCAGAGGACACAGAAACGGCATACGGTGGACCCTATGGACACAGTTGGATGATCTGGACTTTGCAGATGACTTGGCGCTTCTGTCACACACTCAGGAACAGATGCAAGCAAAGACCACAATTTTAAACAGCTGATCAGAGTCTGTTGGATTGAAGATCCACCCCGGAAAGTCAAATGTCCTAAGGATAGATGCACTACTAAAGGAGCAGGTCATAGTTGAGGGAAATGGACTAGAAGATGTCGAAACCGTCTGCTTTCTTGGGAGTATAATTGACGGAGAGGGAGGAACAGGCACTGAAATAAAGTCCCGCCTTGGAAAGGCACAGACTGCATTTATATCTTTCAATAGGATTTTGAGGATCAGGGATATCTCACTATGAACGAAGCTGAGGATTTTCAACCCAAATGTGAAGTCAGTCTTGTTGTATGGATGTGAGACGTGTAACACACCTTAGACTTGCATAAAGAGGATCCAGGTTTCTTGAACAAGTGTCTAAGGAAGTTTCTGAGGATCAGATGGACAGACAGGATCACCAACGAGGAAGTATTATTATTATGAAGAATGAGACAGAGCCCAGTCAGAGAGGAGGCGGGAAGAAGGCGTTGGCGATGGATTGGACACACTTTCAGGAAGTCAAGCAGCTGCATAACAAGGAAAGTGTTAGATTGGAACCCACAGTGTAAAAGATCAAGGGGAAGACCACTTGGAACCTGGCTAAGAGTCACAGAAATGGATGTACAGAAAAGTGGGAAAACATGGAGTGGCAAGTGGCATCAAGCGACTAACCCAGGATAGGGAATGGTGGAAAGTGTTTGTTCGTGGCCTATATCCTGATCCAAGGTGAGAAAAGAAATGATGATGATGATGTTAAGCTCAGTGTGGAAGCATGAAATCAAGTCCCAGTAGTAGTAGGAGTACATGATGCATTTTGCAACTAATAGATTTACTGCTACTATTCCCACAACTAGAACTACTAGATTTGCAGGCGCGGTTCGTCCATATAGCACGGTCATGCAGTGCCGCCCAAAATTTTTTAATGTTCTATTACGTAAAACACTCACAATAATATAATAAAAGAACCCAGAAACCAACACTAGCCAAATATTATATCAAAACAAAGTCCTCACTGGTGCCATAACTGTCATTTCTGTGTCTATAGCGTCGTAAAACATCTACTATGCCATGCCAAAGTCTACGGGCTTTAGCTAAACTTAATAGGATATTCAACAGTGTAACCTGACCTATAAATCGCTCTTGGTGATAACCCAAGCGATGATGACACTCGTGGCGAGTTTGGCTGTACATTAATATTAATAAGACGGCACATCTCAAATGTGCTCCGCCGAACGTTGCCGAAACATAGCCCACAGTAGGCAGTCTAAAGATAAACGCCTTAGACCCTGCGCTATTCTTTGCCAATATAATGTGAGCCCCGGAGCAATCCAGCAGAGTGCTCAAGTGAATTGTGATTGGTTCATTGTCTGTCTTGCCACTATTTTAAGTGACTCTGTGGCCATGAACCTGTGGGAGGGTGAACGTGACTGTCGTATGAGTTGTTCCTTTGAATGTTTTTGTAGTGGAGTAGTGAAAGTTATTACTTGAGTGTTCAGTTCCAATACAGGATGAATGAAATTGATGTTTAGCTAACAAACAAATTTAGTACTAGAAATCAAAGCGACAAGAATGAAAATAAAAGCACGAGGTCCTCCCTCACCTACCCAAAGATCCTAAAATTATACACCGTCTCATTTACTATGCCCTTGACTATCTTCACCATGCGATAGCTTAATTGTGCATGTCCACTTTTTAGCCCCACGAGCCGCCCCTGTAGATTTGTATATTCACTTGGACTTGACTTGGAAGAAGAAGAAAGTTATTCTGATTCCTTCTTTCACTTTCACCCAACTCCCAACTCCATCTCTTCATTGCCCGAAGTACAGCCGTATCCTTGATCTAGCAGCCTCTAGTTAGTTTCGTGGAACATTGGATGGAGCTTTCGCCTTCTAGTTCACTATTAGACCCTTTAAACACTTCAAACATGTTTCATTTATATATGTGTCTTTGAGAGGCTATCTGCACTCTAAAAACGACCGCGGCTTTGTTCCCATTCACAGAGCTTCTTCCGCGTGTCTGACTTAGTCCGTTGCTGTTCAAAAAGTTTTGCACTTTACTTCATCAAATTTTTAACGGAATGAAACAAATAGGTCAGCTGTTAATTTGCTGCTTCCCTTAATTTGTAAGCGAAAAACACCAGAGATATCGACTGCTAAAGCGCATCTCATAAACACATGGTATTAGACCACCGGGCCGGCGGCTTGTCCCGTAAATACACAGGAATAGGCTCACGTGAGTCAAAGATAGGCCTTGATCTACTTCTAGGAATAGAGTCAGACTGAGACTCATGACAAGAAGGATTTCAGAGATGGGGTAGGACTGGGGTTACCAGGCCTATAGGCTGAATGTCTATGAACTACGTTATAATACTATATGATAGATAGGGCTTACTTAATAAATTCTTCAAAAGATAAGTAAGACATGGAGATTTCAGAGATGGGGAAAGGGAAGAGGGGCAAATGCCAGGTCTGTAACAGACATTATCATGACCTACACCTGTGGTGTAGCATTAAGGTACACTGCTGTTGCACTCATGTAAGACCTGAGAATTTCTATTGGGTATATTATTGGTCTTTCTGCTTGGATGTGGTTATTGCATCCCTCTAATAGGGGGTGCCCACATAAGCCATCAGGTCGGGTTGGGCCCATCGGGTAGTCAAGGCTAGCCAAATTGAGGGCGCACCGCCCGCCATCGTGGCACAAACCGATCGACACGATCGGTGACCTACAAAAACAAACGCATTTGTTTTCTGGCCTGCGAATCGCGCGATTGGGTGGTTCGCAGCCAATCACAACAAGGCTGAGTCACGTGTCCATTTTGACCTGTGAATACATTAAGTAGGTACTCTGGGAATTCCCGGTTTCGTTCAGACCGACTTCTCACTTTTCACAGCGGGTTTGGGGCGCTCATAGGCCTAGAGGAAGAAGGAGACGAATAAGGAGGAGGAGGAGCACTACAGAGGGAGGGTGGTGAGAGTGACAGGGAGGGAGAGAGATAAGTGAGAGATATATGCAGAGACCTAGATCTAGCAATGTTTACATTGCTAGATCAGGTCTCTGATATGGGAAGTATCATTGGCCATTGGCCTATTTTATGTATTCATGGGTCAAAGGTTCAGCCAATCGTAGCCTTCTGTGTATTCGCGTGTAGGTTAAAAAAGGTTTCTCTACTTTAACTTCCAGGTCGTCGGGTACAATCGCGACGGGGTTGTAATGTGCACTGAAACCACAAGAAAGCGACCCGACACGACCCGTTCGCGTATGTGGGCACCCCCTATAAGCCTGGGTTGGCCCTGACAAGTAGGATCAAAGCTTGCCTCGTAAATTAGTATAGGCTAAATTGTGTCAATGGGGGTGTAAAAACACCTCTAATTTTTTTTTTTTTAAAAGAAAGAAACATACATTGGCAGTCATGGTTCATCACTCTCATTCATTTGCTCAATTGCTCTTTAAAAAAACCTCTATGTTATCCTGGTCTTTCCCGTTTGCCCATCTGTTCACGTTTCCTAGATAAGTTGTTCCTCTGGTCGTTTTACCTTCTTTTTTTCCAGCGAGAGAGCACTATGCATTGTCTAGCACACACAAAGGGGACATGACATGCACATGAACAGAAGATGCTCAATGCAAATAGATTTTTAAGTCCCGAATTTTTTCTAATATAATGCATGATGACATGTATTCTTTGTATGGGTATGTAAAACATGTACCTATGATTGCTTTTACGGGCAAGCAGGCTAACCCAGATTTCAGAAATCTTGACCTGCAACAAAAGTGGGCATTGCCCTACCTATAGGAGAACTTTGGTTTCATTGGTGTGTATATTTGTTTGGTTATGGAGAAATCTCTCCTTGTCTTTTAAAGAAACTGAACTGGGGCCCGAAAACTGTACCTTCAATTTTCTCAAAACAGCATTTTTCGGGATAGCCCCCTTGTGCTTAAAGGCGACCATATATTGTGAAATCCATACATTCAGAATGATTTTTACGTCCTGCTGTTTTCTTTGTGTGCGTGCTAGACTACTGTCAAACCTGTCTGAGCCAGAAAAAAAAATAAGTCTTACACATTTTCCATCTTGAACAGGCTCGACTGTTGTTAGTATCAATAATATGCTATGGCATGGGCCAATGGACAAAGTTGACTATTAGAGTCGGACTGCAGTCCCTCTCCTACCGTAAGCTGACGAAATGCCTTTTTTTCTTTAGAACAGTTTCAAGAAAAAGAGGGTTTTTTTTTAACGTAATCATTTTAAAATAGTCATTCCGAAATTTAAATTCTAATTTATTCAAAAACTAGTCCCAGTTTCACTTTGATTTTTCACACAAGAAGGGTAACTGATCAGGCTTTCTATGCAGATAAATTTTGGGCGCCGAAATGAAGAAAGGTGTTTTGTCAGCTTACTGCAGAACCCGCCTCGGGTGATGACAAGAAAACCTGCTCAATCTCTAAATATTATATGATCTCTCTTCTGCGGAATGCACTGAGTACTCAAAGAAGGAAGCACAAGTAACTAAATCATATTATTAATAATTAATGCCAATACAAGTTAACACTCAGTGGTACCTTAAGCAGTAAGTGTCCACTTTTAGTTTTAGACAAAGGCTCAAGACTTATTTGGTAACTTTCTTTGTGAATGAGATGTGAATGAGAACTTATCTTGGTCTTTGACATGTGGTTCAGTACCATTCAGTCTAGAAACTCTGCATGAATATGACTTTAAAGGAATGGTTTTGAAGTGTGCAAAGACTGAAAAGTTCTTTCTATTTCCTATTGTAGGTTGTTTCCTGGTACGGTATAGTTACATTTTTTATTCAGGGTACTCGAAAATTACATTTTGGTGAGTTTTACTCTGGGTAGGATCGATAAAGCAGTATCAAAGTAATATTATTAGAAGCTTACATATTAAGTACTAATACTACTACTGTACTTATTATTCTTGCTTCACATTGCAGTCACACTTGTTGTGTATGAAAATACTACGGATCACAAGCTGACAAGCTACTTGCATATAGGCAAAGCATGTGATTACATTCAAGACTCAGTAGAAATAGCTTATAAATTATGAAATGTGCAAGACATAGCAAACACTTTCAAATTTCAAGTTAGACAGTGTCAGTTTTGGGCCAATTTTAATTTCATCAATACAACATTTTCTCTTTGATATTTTGCAGGTCAAAACTGGTGTGTAAGTAGAGAAAGTTCAACATGCATCCCCCAGGAAAAGAGGAAGATTCAGCTGCAGGTGCCTTCAGTTTGAACTCTCAAAGTGCTCTGTTTGCCTCTCGGAGCCAGGACATCTTTGCCAACCTTGGAGTGCTAGAGGAGAAACACTCAGCATTTGTGAAAGCACACGGCTCTGACACAGATACCAGGCAGCTGCTCAAGGCAGATCCTGAAGAGGAAGAGGAGGAGGAAGAGCGATGTTCTTCCAGAAGCAGAGACCACAGACAAACACATCGGTCAAGGTCATCTGATTTGACGTCGCGGTCAGGTCTTGGCGGCACTAGAGGCCAGGACCAGGAGAGGCGTTCGCTTAGCCGCTCCTCAGATCGTGAGGAACAGAGAGCTCCTGCTGATAGAGAATTTCGGGGCTCCTTCCGCAGACCGCGGGGTGTAGCTCCACATTCCCGACATCGAGCCACACCGGACTACAAAAAGAACCCAGAACGCTGGACGTGTTATTCTCTTGATGATGTGCCGGATCAGGATCTTTCGGAGCGCTCCAACCAGCGGGCAGCCCTTGTGTTTCTTGAGGAACGCCGCAAAGAAAGGGAACGGCAAGAGAGGAAAGCGGCCGGACTTCCCGAAGAGGAAATCAAGTTTGACGTCGGCTATGGTGCTTGCTCTCAGGGGAGAGTTTCGTTTACCCGTCGAAAAACAAAGACAAAAGAGACTGATGACAAGTGTGGGGGAAAGAGTGGGCAGGAAGAGGGCAGGAGTGTTGGCTCTGCACCAGACCCTGCAACACTTGATGATGACAATGAGGGAAGTGTGGATGTGGTGGATAGTGAAGCTAATGCTGATGCTGGTCAATTGCCGGAGAGAGAGACAGCGAGTGAAGTTAAAAACACTGGGTTCAAATTCAAACCAAAGAAACAAATGAAGAGGAATATCCGAAGAAAAGGAAGTGGTTCAGATGATTCAGACAACTGACTTGATTATTCACTTACCAGCTGCTCAAATCAAGATATGAGAAAGTAGCAATGATTATGATCAGGAACAGCTTCTATATAACACCTTTTCAAAGAAATTACTAAGTTACAAAATTCCCTAGTCTGTCTCAAGCACCGATAGAAAGTTAAGAAAGGTGGGAATAGTGGGGGGTTTTAAAAATTTTGTTTGCAAAACTGATTTGTACTTTTACTAAAAATGTAGATTTTTAAGGCTGTTGAATTGTCACATAATGCTGATCTCTGTTAACCTGTTGTGTTGGCCTCAATGTGGACCATACTTCCAGAAATATGTAGCATATAAAGAAAAAAGGTTCATGTGGACATGTTCATTGGGAATGTGACAGTTTGTTAGTGCTGTGTGCTTGATGTATATGTGTGGTTGTATGATTGTGTCTTCACTTGTCTGGATTTTTGTTGCCAACTTCCTGAATATTTGCATTTTCGCCACTCTTGTCTTTAATTATGCATATAGGCCTATATGTTCTGTCCTGTGGGGATCTGCCAAGTTGACTGTTCTTGTTTTTGGGGGGTTTTTGTAGTTTTACTCTGTAATGTTCACCCAGCTTGACAAAGTCTCTCAATCGTTTTCTCAACAATGAAATTAGTTGGCTGTAATTTTCTGCCATGTTTGAGTTGCTGATCAGTTTGCACTGTTGTCAGATGGTTACTTTGTTTGGTTCAGTAATTACTAGATTTACATCAGTGCATGTATCTGATCTGTTCCTGATGACATCATGGGTTTGTTTTTGTCATGCTGATTTTCTGTTTGGTTGAACCACACTATTTGTACCTTTGACTTGAATTTCTCCTGAAGACAAAGCCTAGAAGAATGTATAGTATCACATAGTATGAGTCTTATAATATTATATGATGTAGGCTTTTGACATCTTGTTGAAGTTGTACCAGGATCAGACCTGAAAGGTTCATTTTTCGCGTCCAGATGAGTGTATTACTTAGTGCCAAACCATAAACAATGATCCGAAAATGCTCAAAGTAATTTGGTTGTTGTCACTTTACACAGGTGCAGTTCCTGTCTGTAGGTGGCATGAGGGTAATTGGTTCTTTCGAGTTTTTAACCTTCCATGTATTATTTTTGTGTCTTGTGTTGTCTTTTGCTGGACTAATTCTGTCCATGTGCATTACTTTTCAAGCAATTTTTTGTCTTGAACGTTTTAAACCCTGGCCTCTTTTCCCATCCATGAGCTTTGTAGAAGAACTTGTGTTTCACACTACATGTACTAAGTTCATGCCAATATGTGTGTACAATGGGAACAAGGGTAAATCACTAAATGTGGCTGGCACTGAGATGTGTGCTTAGGCCAGGAGGGTTAATAAACTTTGAATGGTATACATTGTAATGATTTAATTACCCTTTTTGCATCATCATCGTCATCCGGTGCCTTGCCGACTGGCCTGGGCGATCATGGACCTCCACTTCACTCTGTCTCATGTTGCAGAAATGGTGTTTGTTGTTCTTGCTGCTCCCAGCCTTTTTGCATAGTAAGGTTATTTAAGAGACAGAACCTTTGAGATTACATCTCGTGTCTGATACTGATAGAACTGGTTCAAGTGAATGTAAATGTAATGCATAAAGACTTGAAATCTCTTTGGTCTTCTGAAGTACACGTTCTGAAAGAGGGTCACGTAACTCACAGTCCAGTGTGATATCTGGGGTGTTGTTTTTTTTTGTGTTTTTTTTTAGTGCTATGTAGGTGTTTTCGCATCCCCATCAACACAATTTTGATCATTCAGAAGGTAGGCTTTAACCAGGCCGGGAAAGATACTTTGAGCAGAAAGGTAGATGCTCAATTTTAAAAAACCTCCTCCCCTTCCCCTTTCTCAACATCAGTTGAGCTAATGGGCTTTGGAATAAGCCTTGAGAAGTAGGCCTATCAACACAGGGTGTGCTTGCTTTTTGTTAAGACATTGAATGAAGAAATAGGCCTACTGCTCTTTGTCCAAATGCAAGTGAGTGGTTGGCGGGTGCTCCGGTGTGGTTTGCTTCTTCTTTCCTATCAAACATCTATCGTCCCTCCTCTTCTTCTTTTTTATGTTTATTACTCTCTTGTAACACGTCTAATCTTCTGGCGTTCATATGACCTTATGCAGTTGCTAGCGCCGTAAAATCTCTACTAAAACTAAAACTGAACTCCAAATGCATGGCTTTTTCACATATGTGGGTACCTATGTATTGGCTGTAAATTTTCCATGGCTACAATGTAGTCCTCTTCCACCTTATCCAATGAACGCTCAAATGTCTTGTTACAATGAATGGTGACATATATTGGCTGCGTTGACATGTATTTTATAGAGCGGTTTCAGCCTGCCTTGGACCTGGATTCATACTGATTTTAACGGAAGCCTGTTTTATTTGAATATATTTTTATAAGCAGTAACAGGTCTTATCCATGTTGATAACATCTTGTAAAATCTGCTTTCTTTTTGTTTCCTCACTTTTAATGTCCACATTTCTTTGCATTTATGAAATATGAAATGGCTGTTTTGAAGTAGACAAAATATACAGTGGGTGGTTGGCAGGTGCTGTGGTGTGGTTTGTTCCTTCTTTCCTATCAAACATCTATTGTCCTTATGTCTCCTCCTTTTTTATGTTTGTTATTCTCTTGTAACTACAGTAACATGTCTAATCTTCAGCACTTATATGACCTTATTGTGTTGCAAGTGCCGTAAAACACTTATTTAAAAAAAAAAATTTTTTTAAGATAAGTGCATTAGTACTCATGGCATGTTTCTGCAGCAATCTATTTGGTTCAAAGACTTTGAGACATAATTATGATTATCGATACCCGCGTAAGGCTTCCATCCATAATCATACCTTCTCATCAACTTCATCAAGTAAATTTTCAGTCACAGCTTTATTTTATACAATTCTTACTACTATGTAGTGCAGTTCTTGTCAACCTTTTTGAAGTCAACGCCCACGATTGCCACTTTTAGAGGATAACATTTTTAGTTTAGTTTTAGTAAGAGTTTTACGGCACTTGCAACACAATAAGGTCATATAAGTGACGAAGATTAGAAGTGTTACAAGAGAGTAACAAACATAAAACAGAAGGAGCAAACCACACCAGAGCACCCGCCAACTGCGCACAGATAAAGTTTTTGTACCGCCCACCTACATATTAAAAAATTCTTCCAAGCGGGGCTTGATAACACCTCTCCTCCTTAGAATTACAAAAGTTCTATCAGACATTTTTGGCCGATTTGAGTAAGGAAGATCACGAGGACAGAAACCATATGTTGTATCTGTTCTGTTAAAATCATTTTTATTATAAATGGGAGTCATTATCAAGATACAAGGGGCATACCAAAAGTTTTTTACCTGACCATGAAGGAGTAACGGTAGAAAGCTGAAATTTGGTACTAACCTAAATCTTTCTGAATGTAGTCGCCTCCCACAGTTATACATTTTTGCCATTGGCGCAAGACCTTGAAAATAGAAGACCTCTTTATCAGAAAACCAGCCCTCTACTGATTCTTTGACGTCATCAGCGCTTTCAAAATGCCTTCCTTTTAAATCATTTTTCAGTTTGGGGAATGAAAAAAAGTCGGACGGGGCTAAATCTGGAGAATAGAGTGATTGTGGCAAAATTTCATAGCCACTTTCTCGCGTAGAATCTAGTTTCTGCAGCTTTTCTTGAAGTGTGTGCTGGAACATTGTCGTGAAGCAGCATAATGCCTTTTCGGATCTTTCCTCTACGTTTTTCTTTTATAGCCTCTCGTAAATTTTTAGCTGGTTAGAATAACGGATAGTATCACTTTTCTGCTTGATGGCTGCACCTTTGCCTTCTTTGGTGTTGGAGACGAGGGCGCTTTCCACTGCATTGATACAGATTTTGACTCAGGATTATTGTGGTGGACCCATATCTTATCCATGGTTACAAGTCTTTCAAAAAATTTAGTTTCATCCTCATACAGACCAAGCAATTCTTGAGAACAATCCACCTGCAGCACTTCTTGAGGAGGAGTCAACAAACTTGGGACCCGTCTCGTTCGTGTTCAAATGTTCATTTAAGATTCATTCAACTGATCCAATGCTAGGCCTAGTTTCTTTGCTCACTTGTTCGATTGTCACCCACCTATCAGACAACACAAGTTTCTTTATTTTCCTTCAACACTTTCTCTTCTGTTGTTAATGTCACTGGGTGACCATCACGGTGGTCATCTTCAATGTCCATGAATCTGCATTTGAATTTTTTACACCAAACTTTTATCACAACATAAGATGAGCAATCCGTTCCTTATACAGCATGCATCTTCTTAGTCTAAGTAACCTGCAGTTGCTTACCTTGCAAGAACAAAAACTTCATTATTGCCCCGTGCTCAATTTTCTCCATTTTTATGTTGAAACTGGAGAACAACATACCCCCATTCACTTACAGTGCGCTGGTTTAAAAACTAGTGATTGGAAATTCTCCAAAATTTACATGCTTTCAAGGAAGGTAATTGTTGGCTTTCACCCCAAATTTCGGCTTTCTACCTTTATTCCTTCTTGGTCAGGTAAAAAACTTTTGGTATGCCCCTCGTATATTCAAAGACTTGCATTAGAAAAAGCTTGACATGTTATGAAAATCTAAATTTTTTGGTCAAATTACTCAAAACTTGATACTTAACAGATAGGACTTTGTACTTCTGAGGTAGCAACCTGTTACTATCTCGGTATCCTCACCACCCACCCAAATTACCAAATCGCCAAGGTTGGCAAGCACTGATTGAGTGGTTGTGATCGCAACAATCGACAGACTGAATACACTAAAAAGAAGCAGGTCATGCAGTAGGCCTACAGTGTAGTGGTACGGTACATACTGCCATGTCAAGGCAGAGCAAGGTATCTGCACTTTTTATGATTTTGAGTTACGTCACGCTGCCATTGGAAATATGGGCATGGCCCTTCAGTAACGTCTGTTTGCCATAGTGAAATCTCCTATTTGGAGTGCAGATACGTCTTCCTGCCTTTGACACAAGATGCAGAATGGGTAGAGGCATCCATTTAAACGAAGGTGCGAAAATTAATAATATTTGCTAATACGTCGGTCTGCCTTGGCATAGCTCCTTCTATGGATGACACAGGAGATATAAACTTAGGTGTACATTGCATTATATTGTGTGCATACATTATGCACAAGTATGTTTTGTACAAGCTACCCTTGAGCAGCTTTTCTTGCTTTCTCCATGTTTGTGTGCGTGCTTGGAATATGTGTGTCTGTATAATGGACACATTTTGTAATGAGCCTCAGTTGGTGAATGTGATTTCTAGAAGAATGTGATCAGGTCTGGCTATTCCAGTCACATATATCTCAATTATTGTTTGTTTTGTGAAAATGTTCACACTGGAAGATTGGACTTTTGAGATGTGATCTCATCTGTTTCATTTACAGAGATGTTCTCCCATCTGATTGATTAGCCAATAAACCTATTATTATTTCAATAATTTGTTGTTGTCATGTTTGCTAGTGGTGAAAGTAAGTCTTCAGTTGTCTTGGATTCCCTCTTCTTGCACCATAGGCTGCCTTAGCTTTCTGTTGGCTTCACAGACAAATCTTTGAGTGTTCCTCAATTTTCAGCTGTGTGTAAGAAGTTTCTACAAGTCTCACTTACTTCTGTCTTGAATAGAACTGCTACTGTTTAGTCAGTTTGCTGGTGTGGTCTGCTCATGTTAAGCTGTATAGCATGACTACATTACTAATCTCTTCCTGGAGAAATGAGCTATATTGATATGCGAATTTGCCACAAACTACAACCAAGCAACCTACAATATGTGGGATAAAAGTACTCGAACCTCTCTGGCCCACCAAGTCAGGCACCTTTAGTTTGAGAGATTTTTTTAGTTAAGGTACAGAGTAAAAAACCATGTGAAATGGTTTCCTCCTAATCCTTAGGAAAAAGACAAATGACCGAGTGTAAAATGAAATAGTCGAGCCATCAGTGAAGTAAATTATGGTCAACAATCTGTATAAACACTGTATGATTGTTTAAAGTAGTGTGGTCTCCGAAATTCCCATCCGTCTAAGAAAGGTTCGAGCCAAGTGGTTGGAGAAAGTTGAAAAAACTCCCTGAACAATCCTAGTTCAGGTTCAAGAACACACTTTTAGGGACTAAGGATTTGAACCCGTCATCAGCACTGTGGCTCAGCTTGATACCCTGTAGCAATCAGCATTTCCTCTTACCAGTGGCACAGGGCAACAGAAACATCTACAGACACATAAACTACAAAACATTTTGTAACCAATTAACAAGAAAAGTGAAGACACATGACTGATCAAGAATATTATTTATTTTGTGTTTACACTTTGATCCCAAACTGTTTTTTAAGTTCTATAACATGATGGCACACACACACTTACACACAAACACACTAAGCCAGAAGTGGGGGATTGAAGAAAAATTACAAAGACCATAAAGAGGCCAGTGGCGGGAAGAAAGAAAAAAAACCAAATAAAGAGAAAAAAAATGTAGAAACAAAAGTGGACAAAAGAGGTACCAATATTGCACACAAATGCACGAGATGATACGTATGACAAAATCTACTGTCCACTACACAATATCAAATGAAAAAGCCCAACAGTCCTAAGACACAATATTCCATGAATCATAGAAAAAGCAAAAATGTGAAAAGCAAGAGTAGTAAATCCTAACCAAACAATTGGATACCAATCGGGGTTCACTTCATGAAAACTGCAACAGTTTGATAAAGAAATTCTTCCAAGTCCAGACCCAAACACACCGTCAGCTCGACAAAGGGTTTCTGTTTACGTATAAATGCATCCTGTTAAAAATTCTTTTCTATTATAA